CCGGGGAATCGGCTCTGTGGGTTTTCTCGACTTCGGCCTCGGCACCTGGCAACCGTGTCCACCGACTCTGGTGGGCCCCTGCACGTGCCAGCCGGACGGCCAGCAGCTATTAAAACTGCTCTGCTTGTGTCCTCAGACCGAGGCGTCACCCGCCTTGCCACAGACAGTCAGCCCCTCCTGCCAGCACTCCACGGAGGATGAGCTGGGGCATCATTGCTGCTGGCACCACAGTCCTGCAAAAGGTCTGCAATTTGGGGAGATGAGATTCAAGATGTGCTATTTATCTTCATGCAGGCAGCTCGGTTCTTGTTACTGTTTTCTGCAGTATACGTGGTATGATATCAGATCTCCCCCACAGAAAGGGCTACCTTGAACTTCACGTGGTACCTCTAGCTAGAGCCCTTCGTCAGAGAGGTCCACCCAGGCCTCTGCCGGGGGCTGCGGTGGGAGGAATGTGCCAGGTACCCACTCAGCATCACTGGAGTGAGGAAGCCTTGTTCTACTGTCTTGCTCCAGTTGTAACAGACCAGGCAAAGCTTCTTCAACTAGCTCTTGTCTCCTGATCCGGGAAAGCAGTGCTTACCAGGAAGAGCCACCTTCCGCTGCACATCCTTCCTGCTTTTCCAAGGGAAGCGGGGAGGCACGGCAGGTGATTGCCTCAGGAAGTTTCCGTCCCAGTGAGGATCCTTGCTGGGGCTGCTGTCTCCTACCCAAATTGGAAATGACTGCTGCCAGGTGTGTAAGAAACTCCCTGGAGGACGGAATGAGGAAGTGTGATCGTTTATGTGTGATTTAGAAAATGAAGGTCCAAATGCAGATTGGCAGCGAGAGGTCTGTCTTCCTGCCAACTTCCATCACTGAAAGGAGGGCGCGATCTTTAAGAAGTGACAATTGTGGGGGGGAGGGAGTGGGGACAAGGCGCATCTGGACCAACTCTGAGAGGGATGCCTCTTAGGCAAGCTTGATCCATTTGATTTAAAGAAGGGACTTCGGACTTGATGCAGAAATAGGCTAATCAAATGCCCTGATGTGCCTGGGGCCGTCCCATTTTATGCCAGCCACCCAAGTTTAATTTTCAGTGGTGCCTCCTTTCACTTTCAGAAAAGTCCAGACATGGCTGATAGGTTCTATGATCACCCTAGGCCAAAGGAGAGGAAAAGAGAGAGAGAAAGAGACAGTGAGTTATGGCTGGACATGAATCCAGAAGAGCGACAAGTAGGACGTGGGATTCTGAGAAAGTTCGTTTTGCTGAGCCTGAAGGAAGGGCAGGCAGTAGAGGTTGGCTCATTCTCAAGCATGTTTAGAGTCACGGGCTGGCGGGCAATGTCGGGGCATAGATTGAGAGGGTGGATGCTGGAAGGGTCTCCCGGGCAATCTAATTCACTTCCACTTTCACCACAAGGGGACACTGGGCTAAAAGAGAGAGGTGACCTGTCTGTGATCACACCGGGTTCCCAGCAAAGTGGGAACCAGACTTGTCCCTGGAGGGTCAAGCCCAGGTGCTGTGTTCTGGGTGAGAGGGAACGGGATGTCTCTGAGGGCTGCTGCCGGGGAGTAATAGCTACATGGCAGGTGACGTGGCAGCTCCCGAGCAGGGGGAGTCACAGGCCTCGCTGTTGTTCCGGGGCTGAGGAGGAAGGACAGAGACAGGTGAGGGCCACATCTGCTGGGCACGAGTGGGTGTGGGACTGGAGGGCAGGTCTGGAGCCACAACAAAGTGGTGGGTGGAGGCGAGGGGTAACCCAGCTCTCCGGGGCAGTGCCTGCAAGGGGCCGAAGAGATGAACTGGTCAGTAGAACGAAGAACCAGTGAAGAAACAGGTTGGTATGGACATGAATGGGGTCAGATAAGTAATTTATAGAACTGACATCTTTTCTTTGGTTCAGATTGTAGTGAAACCGAACAGAGAGGCAAACCCTGATAACAGTTGTCTTATCTCTTGACATCTCCTTCCTACCCCCTTAACAGGGCTGCAGTGGTGGGAAAATCGCAAGTCAGTAAGAGCCCTGACCTCTGCTTGGTAGATGGGGAAACTGAATCATGGAGAAGCCAGCTCCCTTCCGTCTTATGGTGCTCTCTGCAGATGGGGTGTGATTAACAACAAGCCACAAGAGCGGTTCCACCAGCCAGCCACAACAGTACATTCTGTGGTTTCATTGCAGTCTGACCTCCCATGCGGCTCGGGTGTGGTGGAGGGGGTGAGGTGGTAGACTTTTCTGTGAATCTGCTCATCTGGATGGAAGTCCCGGCAAGAGGCCCAGCTCGAGGCTCCAGAGACATGGCTTTCGGTCCCCGTTCTGCTGCCTGCTAACTAGCGGTGCGGAGATGAAGCATCACTTCTCCTCCCTCGCCGACTCTTCCTGGTTGTCAGATGAAGCCTCTGGTCTCGGCCACCTCCCAAGTCTCAACCCCTGGCTCTGTTTTTCCAGGGATATCCGACCTTGGCTCAAGCGGTATCTGACCTTGGCTGGGCACCCTCACAGCTCTGAATGAGATCGTTGGCCTTAGATCTTAATGATCTCTGACAATGTAGGGATACAAAGTATCCAATGTTGACAATGTAGGGATAACAACGGCACTGCGTGCAAAGTATCGTTTAAAAAAAAAAAAAAAACCCAGCATATTTGGTTCAGATTTACAGTTTTTGCCTCCAGCAACCTTTCGCCCAATGACGCCGAATGAACTGTCGAAGTTTATGGCCGACCATCTTCAAAGTGAATGGCTCACCCCCGTAAACATATCCTGGACTGCAGGCTGGTTGTAGCTGGAACGATCTACTGTCACCCTGAGCCAGTTCTCCCACATAACGTCTACAAAAATCCTGCACGCCACTGTCACACCCACGTGGTGCTCTCTGATATGTGACATTAGAAACCTCAATCTCCTGAAAAAAAATCGTACAGTAGTTTCAGTATATATGAACCGAGCACGCATTTTGTTCAGTGAAACTTCTTTGATGTTGCCTGTTCAAATACCTGCAAATATTGAGAAAACACCCACAGACGTCGTCCTCGGCTGCCACCGTACGGTTTGCAGAAACCAACAGGGGAGGCATGAAATACCGAAGGTCACTGGAGATCGTGCACCTTCCAGGACACCTCAGGCTCTCTGAACCCTCCTCTACCACCTGCAACTGCTAGTATCTGAGCGAATGTTCCAGAGAAGCCGGCCGGGGGCAGTAGGAGAGTCAGAAGGAAGGCGAGAAACTGAAAGGAGAAGCAGGATTTTGGTGGTATCGCTTTCCACCCTTACGCTATTGACTTGAAGAAGTTCAGGGTCACTGGGGCATCGCAGGTCCCTGGCGGTACCAAGCAGCACACAGCAGTGCGTCCAGCACACCGAAGCACAGCAGGGAAGGGAAAAAGGGGGATAGATGGATAGGAGAACAACAAGAGGGAAGCAGGAAGGAGCAGATGGCTGGAGAAAACACTGGACAGAACAGGAAGGAAGGGCCACGAGGCTCCGTGCCCATGTACCTTGAATAGTGACTGGGGGTAAAGAGGTGAGTGTCTGGGGCCCAAGGGCTGCGTCAAGGCCACAGAAACACAGTGTGTATCTGGGAGGAAATGTCCTTGGGGGAATAGATGTCAGGACAGAAGACTGAGGGCTGACCCTGGATAACCTCAAAACACCGAGAAAAGCTTATATGCCTGCCTGTATGCCAAAGTTGGTACATTGTACCCAGGACTCTGAGGGAGCAGGTCTCCCAGACGGATCCGTTATTTGGTATCGGCACCTCTTTTTTTTTAATTTTTAATTTTTTTAATTTAAAAAACAAATTTTTTTTTAACGTTTATTTATTTTTGAGACAGAGAGAGACAGAGCATGAACAGGGGAGGGGCAGAGAGAGAGGGAGACACAGAATCTGAAACAGGCTCCAGGCTCTGAGCTGTCAGCACAGAGCCCGACACGGGGCTCGAACCCACGGACCATGAGATCATGACCTGAGCCGAAGTCGGACGCTTAACCGACCAAGCCACCCAGGCGCCCCGGCACCTCTTTATTATAAAATGAACCACACTGAAAGCTTAGGGAAAAAAAAAAAGGCAGACCAAAAATATCACATCTCAGGCAAATGAGCTGGAAATCCCTTAGAGTGACGCCCTCTATTTTTCCGCCCATCTCTAAAGTCGGAGGACACCTGGCATGGTATTCAGGTGAGAGACGCAATTCCTGGGCCACGTGGTTTCCTGACGGTACGGGATTGAAATGACGTCACGGAAATGCATATGTTTCAAGGTGACTCTAAGTATAGTTTCTGGGTGAAAACATGAGTCTTAGTCATTGGTGGAAAGGTGTTGGCGTGCCTCCGTGACTTGCTGGTGTCTACTCCTCTCTGCCTTCGGAGACAGAGTTTTAATTAAATTCATGCAGGCTGCTGGCCAAGTTTTTCCACGCTTTTGGCTCACCTGGGTGTACGACCTACATGTAGGTTATACCACACCTGTGCTCCTTTGTCGCTCAGAGGGAAAGAACACAATGGTTACCAAGAAATGGCGAAGCTTGTCTTCCACTCAAGGGCAAGGCATCTGTGACATGAGATGCCCACTCCAGTGGTTAATATGGACAGTCTCATTTGTGTGGCGCTCCCTGTGGTGACGAAAGGGAGGATGTGGCAGACGCAGAACGTATGGAGTCCTTTGTCTTAATTAAAAAGTGCAGTGAGAGTCATGGAATTTGGCCAAGCCTCATAAATCTGCTCAGAGAATCAAGATTCTGTCAGATAAGCTTAAATAGGACCAACTGAGCCCTCTGGAGAATTAAAAGAGATTCCCCGCTGGTAGCTGACACCCACTCCCTGTCACTTTGCTGTACTCCACGGACGGCGGTTGTGCTCATTAACCAGCAACCCTCCTACCCGCCGATGACAAGTTTATCCCCGCGGAGCACCGAATTCAGGGATGATAAATTTACTCCTGCTTGTAAAAATGAAACTCTCCTCAGGGCAATAAAAGTGCTGCGAGCCTTTAAGGAAATCAGTACTTTGTCTGATAACCTACCTTCATTAACAAAGCCTGGTCCTCTTGCTCAGGACAGCTCCTCACTGCCAGCCAGAACTGCTCTAGAGTAACTGGAAGGGAAGAAACAGAAAAGGTGAAGGACCCCCCTTCAGCCCCTGAGGACTCCTGGCATGAAGAAGCGCATTGGAGTTATAACAGATGCAGGGGGGATGCTATGGGTCTTTCCTTGGTGATGGGATAGATAGAGGTCTCTCTGGCCCCGGGGTAGGTCAGGGCCAGCACACGGGGACTTCTCCACCACTGTCAGGCCGGGATGATTACAGCAGAGCACACGGCCATTACCATCAACAAAGCTCTATCCTAAAGCTCTAGGAGGTCCTGGGTGTAGCCACCAATGACCAGCTGGCCCCCCGCGAAGACCATACTAACACCCCAGTTTCATGTGATCTCCATTATTTAGCGGACCAACTGCCTTTGTAAACTGGGCAGTGCTACATGTTCTATCTTGGTGTTCTGTCATGATTCCCACGGATTTAAGGCCTCTCGTGGTGTGAATGTGATAATGGCCCTCAGTGTTGACTCAAGCAAATCCCATAAACTCCCCTACATATTTCAAGTCATGTTTCCCCAATCATCCTTCTCCAGCAGAATGGCAGAGAGAAAACTCAGGAAAGCTTGCAAGAAAATACTTTAAGGGTCCATTTAGATTGGCCATGCTCTAGGAATATTAATGTAGACAATTTACACCAATTATATTCCCTTTCTCCGTCACGGTGGCCTAGCTCTCACCAAAAGCCCATGTGTGTGGGCACCCCCTTTTTCTTTTGGTTGTACTAAACACCAAACCACACGCTACCTTCCCTGCATACTGTTTTGACTATATTATTTCACTTTTAAAGATGCTCCCATGAGTCCCTACCGCCCTCAGATTTAAATCTACTTCTTTTGACAGGCATTAAGATTTCAACTTTAGTCAACCATCTAGACGAGCCCATTATTTCTAGACTCAAAGTTGTGTCCGCTCTCTACCTGCCATAACCGTTTACCACTGTCTGCTGGGCACAGTCCTTCCACTTGCCTTTGAGCAGAGCAAAGTTCTTCTACTGGAAGTTTGCAGCCCTGCCCATTCAAAGCCACTGACCACCTCTGGGGTCCTGCCCAACCTGCACAGAGCCCACGGGAGTGGGCAGAGATACACACAGCTTCGTGACTGAGGAAGAGTCTGGTTCCACTAGTCTGACCCCAAGGATGTCCGGATGTCATGTTTACAAATGCAGATATTTTGAAAAAAATTGGATCATCAAGAATGAATTTTCATCAGGAAAGCATTGTCTGGTTAATTTTTTGTTGTGTTCGATGTTACCTAAAAAAATATAAACCTTTAGAGAGTTTTCATCTATGACTAAATTACTCTATGGTTTTAACCGTTATCACTTGTATCTTGCCCTCTTTATTTTTCCCAAGTCTAAAATTTTGCCCTTATCCAGACAAAATGCGCTCAGAACCAACAGAAGGATCGATCGGTGTTGTCCACTTTATATGTATATGCCCATCCAGTCATGGCTAAAGCTGGCTAAGGCATGCCC